CCCACTTAGTGCAAGAGGCCATCATTGGTAGGGACTTCCCTAAGTTTTGGGAACTGTGGGATCATTCTGACATGGTCACAGTGACTGACTCAGTGGCGGAGGCAGAACCTTTGGCCAACGCTAACAGTGTGGGTTCAGGGGACTTTTCTCAGGGTTCCCCAGGTTTTCCTTTTTCAGTAATGGCGGGAGAACTGGAGGAGCCTAAGGAAGTTCCCACAACCAGTGGAAATAGCCACCCTTCTGCTGACACTGAGGCTACACTAGAGTTTTCTGACCTTAAAGTACACAAGGAAAACTTTGATACGAAGCAGAGAAAAGACCCTACCCTTACCAGGGCCTGGGAAAATATAGTGATGATTAATGATGTACCTGTCGAACCAGTGGACATGCACTGTTTTCCTTATTTCAGCAGCAATGAAGGTTTATTGTATTGTGTATACACAAAGAATGAAGAAATTGTTGAGCAGTTGGTGGTCCCTAAGCCATACAGAAGGGTGGTATTGGAACCTGCCCATGGGCACTTACTGGGAGATAATTTAGGGGTGGAGAAAACCACTGAAAAGGTGGTGCACAGATTTTACTAGCCCGGGGTACAGAAAAACATTGAGAATTTTTGTCAATCCTGTCCTGTGTGTCAAATCTCAGCACCCCTGTCCCACTTCCGAAGTCCTTTAGTGCCCTTACCCATTATTGAAGTGCCCTTTGAGAGGATTGCCATGGACCTTGTGGGTTCACTGCACAAGTCTGCCCGGAGCTATCAATATATCCTCGTAATTATGGATTATGCTACCTGTTACCCTGAGGCAGTTCCTTTGCGCAATGCGTCTGCTAAAAACATAGCTAAAGAATTGTTCATGGAGTTCAGTCATGTTGGGGTCCCTAAGGAGGTCCTTACAGACCAGGGCACCCCAATTTATGTCACGGGTAATCATAGAAATGTGCAAATTGTTTAAGGTGACGCAATTGTGAACCGCAAACGGATGGCTTGGTGGAATGCTTTAATAAAACTTTAAAACAAATTTTGAAAAAGGTTGTTAATGATGGGAAAAACTGGGACTTTCTTCTTCCATACTTAATGTTTGCCATCAGGGAGGTTCCCCAGTCCTCTACGGGGTATTCTCCATTTGAGTTGCTCTATGGGAGACACCCTAGGGGACTCTTAGACATTGCCTAGGAAACATGGGAGGGGTAGCAAACATCCCACAAGTGTCATTGAGCATATTGCGCAGATGCAGGACAGGATTGCAGCAATTATGCCTACAGTAAAAGAACACTTACTTCAGGCCCAAGCAGCCCAACAAAGAGTATATAACAGGGGGGCCCATCTCACTTGGTGACAAGGTCCTGGTGTTAGTTCTCACGGTTGAAAGCAAGTTCCTGGCAAAGTGGAAGGGGCCCTTTGAAGTAATCTAAAGAGTTTGAGAGGTAAATTACAAGGTATATCAACTGGGTAAAAGAAGGCCCAAGCAGATATACCATATAAATCTGTTAAAACCCTGGAAAGATAGACTGGCATTGACTATGGGGGCCATTCCTATAACTCCTAGGGGTACTGAGTTCCCTCTAGTCCCTGAGGTCACTATTCCCTACACCCTGTCTCCTTCCCAAAAACAGGAAGCTAGAGCCTTCCTGATAAGAAACAGAGATACATTTTCAGAATTGCTTGGTACAACTCCTGCTGTTCAGTATGATATTGTTACTAAACCTGGGGTATGTATCAAATTAAAGCCCTACTGAATTCCTGAAGCTAAGAGAAAGGACATCAGGGATGAAGTCCAAAGGATGCTGGAGTTAGACATAATTGAGGAATCTAATAGTGACTGATCTAGTCCCATTGTATTAGTCCCAAAACCGGATGGAACCTCGAGGTTTTGTAATGACTTCAGGAAGCTGAATTTGTTAACAAAATTTGACATGTACCCAATGCCTAGGGTAGATGAGCTGATAGACAGACTCAGTAAGGCCCACTATCTGACCACGTTAGACTTGACCAAAGGATATTGGCAAATCCCCTGACTGATTGTGCCAAAGAAAAGACAGCATTTGTGACCCTGGAGGGTTCTTTTCAGTATAAAAAGATGCCTTTTGGGTTGCAAAATGCCCCTGTGACCTTTCAGAGGGCCATGGACAGAACCCTAAGACCTCACCAACAATATGCAGCCGCCTATCTGGACGGCATTGTAATACATAGCACTGACTGGGAGTCTCACTTGCCCCGTGTCCAGACGGTCTTTGATTCCCTTTTCAAGGAAGGTTTTACGGCCAATCCAAAGAAATGTGCTATTGGATTAGAGGAAGCTAGGTATCTGGGCTACACTATTGGTCAGGGAATCATAAAACCCCAATTAAACAAAGTAGAAGCCATTCAAGAATGGCCATGTCCAGCAAATAAGAAGCATATCAGGGCATTTCTGGGTATCACACTGTACTATAGAAGGGTTCATCCAAAATTTTGACACCCTAGCAGCTCCACTGACTGACCTGACAAAAGGGAAAGACTCAGTAATGGTGAAATGGTCCACAGAAGCAGAGGAGTCTTTTAAAATCCTGAAGAAGGCCCTTTGTTCACAGTCAGTGTTATACTCCCCTGATTTCTCTAAAGATTTTTTTGGTGCAGATGGAGGAATCTGATGATGGCATTGGAGCGGTATTGTCGCAGGTACGCAATTGGGAGAAACACTCTGTAGTGTACCTGAGCAGAAAGCTCAATGAGCATGAGAAAAAATATGCTGTCATAGAAAAGGAATGATTAGCCATAAAGTGGGCCTTTGACGCACTAAGGTATTATTTGTTAGGATGCCAGTTTGAGTTACCAACTGATCATGCTCCCCTCAAGTGGATGGCTCAAAAGTAGGAAACAAATAGACGGGTGGTTTCTGGCCCTGCAGGACTATGCCTTCACTGTAAAGCACAGGCCAGGGCTTAAAATGGGGATTGTTGATGCCCTGTCCCGGGTTCATTCCTGTTGGACCACAGATGTTCCAAACCTGGGGTTGAAACAAGGAGGGGGGATATGTGGAAGAGTGTCCCAAAGGAACTCTGGTAAAGTCCTGTTCGAGGTTTATAGATCTCTCAGGTTTCTTACCTATACCTTTAGGGATCTCTGATATGAGGTCCAATGCAGGGTTTTGCCTCTCTCTCCATGGGCAATTAAATCTACCTGGGACCTATAGCCAGAGCTCTCAGCCTGGGATTCAGACAAGACCTGTCTAGAGAGCTGAAAGTTTGCTGGAAACTAACTAGCTGTGTAAAATGTGGCTAACAAGCGGTAGGCTCGATCAATCTGGTAGTTGGGACCTGCATTACTGTGTAGTGAGAGCCGGGACACGGCTAGGTTTTTTTTTTGTTTGATATTTACCTGCCCTGTTTATTTTGGGTAAACACTGTACAGCACTTTGTATATAGTCTTTGGTAAATAGCACTAATAAACACTTTCACTGTTTGCCACTAATCTCACTGGATTTGGTATCTGTGCCTGAAAGACTACGTACCCCAGGAAGCATATATCCCGGATGCCTATCCCCAGCTCACAGAAGTTTATGCTCTAAAATGATTTTACTATTTACAGCTCAGCAAGCTGGTACTACCTTTGGTGTGAAGGTGGTAGACATATAGGGCTCATATACACGGTCGACTAGCGGGTGGCAAAAGCAGGCAGTTAGACCAAGGTTTTACAGCCCACCAATCACCCACCTAAACACAAAAATGCAACTGCTAACGGCTGTATACATGCTTCAGCTTCTATACTTTGCTTCATGGCTGTGGCACAAAATAAACATAGTGCTGCATGTGGCAAGACTGTACCATTTTTTTTTAAACATCAGACATAATGCTAAAATTGTTAGCTGCTGTTTTACTATGAATAGACTCATAGCAGTGATTATTCAAACACAACTAATATTTGTGCAATTGTGCAAGATTAACTGCTACTGCATACTACTTGTATATCTCTGACAATGGGTACCTATTTGTTCTTTTGCTCAACGATTATTCACTAGCAAATTTAGTAGCGCTACTACACATCATGACCACAAAAAATGTTAACATAAAAATAACAATTGAAGGTGAGTAGATCAAAAACATGCAGGATTTCACTTTCATTGGATTGCAGATTGATCAAAGTGGAAACTGTAGTCTAGAAATAAAGTAGAGAACAAGGATGGTAGACTGGCAACAAACACAGATAAGTCTGTGCTATTATGTAAGCTACCTCTGGTTGTGAAAGTTGGACCATGGAAAAACTAGACACAAGAAAAATCGATGCGTTTGAGCTATGGTGCTGAAGAAGGCTCCTGTGCATTCCATGGACAGCAAAGATAACATACAAATACTGGGGAGCATCAAACCAGGGGTTTCACTGGATGGTGAAATTCCAAGACTCAGGCTTGCCTATTCTGGATGTGCAATGCAAAGAATGCAACATTTTTTTAATTAATTAGCAACAAAAGGCCACCAAAAGAACCAGATGGTTAAACATCATAAAAGTTTATACCATCCAGAACATGAAACGACCCATTAAGTTCTAGAAGATCAACAAAATGTGGTCCATTAAATTGACAAGAGAAAAATCACCCTTGTATCTCCAGCCTTAGCTTTGAACCTCCTCTTCAGCAGAGACCACATAATCTTAGGGAGGGTTATATGTTGCTGAAGCCCGAGTTTCTCTGAGGCTCCATGTATCATAGTTTAATCCCCCTTCCACTGCCAACCCATGTTATACAGGATCTTGACAAATTAAAAGTAAAGATGATTGCTAGGCAAAATGTAAACATCAAGAAAGATATGGAAAACATTTTAAAACACAACCATTTGGTCATTAGGCTAGCTGATAAGGGAAGGGGGGGGGAATGATTGTGGCCCTGGATAAAGATGATCTCATTAACCACTTCCCGACTGCCCTATAGCAGAAATACTGCTACAGGGCGGCACGGGTACGCAAAATCTTGTGTGTGTGTGTGTGTGTGTGTATATATATATATATATATATATATATAAAAATGTGATTTTGCATTTCCGGGTAAGGGGAGTGCACCATACCAACGTCACCATTCGCACAGATGTGACTGTCAATCACCAGGTCCTGACCAGGAGGAGAACTGTTTTGTTTACTAACAGTTCTCCTCCCTGTCAGCTCGGGTACACTGCTCTGGATAGCTGTGGACAGCATAGCCATCCAGAGCAGTGTGATTACAGTGAAGCACACAGACACCGCCCTCTAGTAAAACACTCCCTGCACACAGTTAACCCTTTGATCGCCCCTTATGTTAACCCTTTCTTGCTCAGTGCCATTAGTACAGTGTCAGTGCTTTTTTTTAGCACCGATCACTGTATTGGTGTCACTGGGGATGTCAGTGACACCAAATCAGTTCCCGTCAGCGTCAGAATGTCTGCTGCAGTCTCGCTATAAGACGCTGATGCTGCCATTACTAGTAAAATAAAACATTTAATTAAAAAAATCACATTTGTAGACGCTATAACTTTCACGTAAACCAATTAATGTAAACATATTGGGATTTATTTTAGCAAAGACATGTAGCAGAATACATTTTAGCATACATTTTTTTTTACTGGGCATGTTTTAATAGCAAAAAGTCAAAAATATATTTTTTTTTTCTCAAAATTGTCTGCCATTTTTTTTTTTATATAGAGCAAAAAATAAAAAACGCACAGGCAATCAAATACCACTGAAAGAAAGCTCAGTTTGTGGGGAAAAAAAGGACATAAATTTAATTTGGGTGCAGCATTGCATGACCGCAAAATGGTAAAGTAACGCAACTCAGTAATGCAAAAAATGGCCTGGTCAGGAAGGGAGGTAAATCCTCAGGAGGGCAAGTGGTTAAGTAGGTTAAGGAGATGAATTGTATAATAACAGATACAGAGACTTATTTACCCTTGCCTTGTGATCCCACAAAAAGGTTTTAGGTTCACCTCCAAACCTTAGTAGACACTGGCTATAAAATGATATTTTAAATAAGAAAGAAAGGGTTTATCTTATACCCTCCTCATCTAGAATGGCAATAATGTATTGCCTCCTGAAAGAGCATAAAGATCCAGTGCATCCTCTGAGACATCCTATTCATAATAGTGGAATATATAGATTATCGTCTACAGCCCCTTGTTACTATCACTCCCTTGTATCTAAAACATACTAAACAACTACTTACTGAGATTAAAAACATCAATTTGAGTGAAAACAGATTATTAGTGACAATGGATGTAGCCTTTCTTTGCACCAATATTGCTCATAAAGATGTCATGGAATCAATAGATTTTTATTTAAATAAGGCAGATAACATTCCCATTCCAACTTCTAGGAACTATTTCTGGTTCAATAAATATTTTTTTCTTCAAAAGAGAGGTGTGGCTATGGGGGCAACATTTGCCCCCAGTTTAGCTAATTTGTTCATGGGCAAGTTGGAAAATGAAGTAATTTATTCTAAGTGATGGCCTTACCTGTTCTACCATAGATACATTGACAATATTTTCATGGTCTGGAATGGCAATTTAGAATCCCTTTGAGAATTTCTAGAATTTTTGAATAATAATTATTTAAATATATCCTTAATTCACGAGTTTAACTCTATGACTAACCATTTTTAAAAAGGATGGGATATTATATTCTAAATCCTATTTCAAATCTACTGATAACATTTTTATTCCCAAGGATAGCTGGCACCATCCTCAATGGATAGACAATACAATATTATTTAACCACTAGCCTACAGGGCACTTATACCCCCTTCCTGTCCAGCTTTCAGTGCTGTCGCATTTTGAATGACAATTGCGCGGTCATACAACACTGTACCCATATGAAATTTTTATCTTTTTTTGTGACAGATAGAGATTTATTTTGGTGGTGTTTAATCACCTCTGGTTTTTAAAAAATTTTTTAAACAAATTAAAAACCACTGAAAATTTAGAAAAAAAATTTTTCTTAGTTTTTGTTATAAAAGTTTGTAAATAAGTGATTTTTCTCCTTCACTGATGTGCGCTAATGAGGCTGCACTGATGGGCACTGATAGGCTGCACTGATGCACACTGATAGGTGGCACTGATGGGCATTGACAGGCATCACTGATGGGCACTGAAAGGCAGCACTCATATATGCATAAATAAAAAGTGCAGCGCTAGTAAATAAGAGATCTAAGAACACATATATATCTCAGATGATCTGAGAAACACACTGTGATATATGGCACAGAGGTGATGGCTAATACATCAGGTGATATTGATATTAATGTCCAGACAAGTTGTCGCAGGATCCTGCATAAAAGCTTGATATACCAGGATCAAATAGTAAAATTGCGCACTCACCGGACGCGCTATAGATATGCGCATTTGATATATAACCACTGGAAATCCCTCATCTAGTGGGGAAGGTAGATATCCATCTGGGAGCAGATGATCCTGATGTTCCCTCTTATTGGTATGTAGTAGGCAGCTTCCAGGTCCAGGAATCCCCTTAAGGCTGGGTAAACTTTTCTTATGAATATAGAACTCATTCCGGTGGCGGGTAATAGGATATCCTAGGAAGTTATTAGCTCCAATAGGAGCCAAAAAAGTGCCTCATAGTGTAGTAGGTAAAATAAAGGAATTTATTTCAAAAAATATATTGCAGATAAAACAGGGTAGAAACACTCAAACAATAAAATGATATGCAAAGTGTAACTGACCCAAAAGTAAGATGGCCGCCGGTGGGAGTTCTATATCCATAAGAAAAGTTTACCCAGCCTTAAGGGGATTCCTGGACCTGGAAGCTGCCTACTACATACCAATAAGAGGGAACATCAGGATCATCTGCTCCCAGATGGATATCTACCTTCCCCACTCGATGAGGATTTCCAGTGGTTATATATCAAATGCGCATATCTATAGCGCGTCCGGTGAGTGCGCAATTTTACTATTTGATCCTGGTATATCAAGCTTTTACGCAGGATCCTGCGACAACTTGTCTGGACATTAATATCAATATCACCTGATGTATTAGCCATCACCTCTGTGCCATATATCACAGTGTGTTTCTCAGATCATCTGAGATATATATGTGTTCTTAGATCTCTTATTTACTAGCGCCGCACTTTTTATTTATGTATATTTTTGAAGGTTTTGCTGAGATTACCTTGGGTGCATTGGCTGCTGATTTTTCTTTTTTCCTAGCACTCATATATGGCACTGATAGGCAGCACTGATAGGTGGCACTGATAGGCGGCACTGACTGGCACTGTTAGGTGGCACTAACTGGCACTGTTAGGCGGCACTGATAGGCAGCACTGATGGGCGTCACTGATGCACACTGATAGGTGGCACTGACTGGCACTGATAGATGGCACTGATTTGCAGCACTGATAGGTGGCACTGATTGGCAGCACTGATAGGTGGCGCTGACTTGCATTGATGGGTGACACTGAAAGGCAGATCAGATGGGCACTGATATGTGCATTGATGTGCACTGGTAGGCACTGATATGTGTCATTGATGTGGCACTGATGGGCACTGGCAGGTGGCATGGATGAGCACTGACAGCTGGCACTGATGGACACTGACAGGTGGCACTGCTGGGGCTACACTGATCATCAGGGCACACTGATCATCAGTGCCCTGATGATCAGTGTACATGTCCCCTCCGAGGAATGCTGATTACCGGCTCTCCTCTCCTCTCCTCTCCTCTCGAGCTGTCAGCGTGACAGCTCGTGAGGAGAGAAATGCTGATAACCGGTATTTCCCTATTTACATGCGATCAGCTGTGATTGGACACAGCTGATCACATGACCGAGCCGACATCTTCGGCTCTTTCCGTCGATCGGTGATCCACTGTGTCCGAGGGACACAGCGCACACCACCGATCGCCATGCTGCAGGCTCCTGGAGCCGCGCATGCGCGGTTAGAATGGGATGACGTCCTCCCAGAACGAGAGAACCACCTTGCGCCTGTCATTGTACTATATGGTGGGCGGGAGGCGGTTAAACAAATCAGAGGTACTTAAAAACAGATTCTTAGAAAAAGGTTAGGATGAGCAGGATGTTAATCACACAATAGGAGTGGTGGGTTCTCTAGATAGATCTGCTCTATTAACTGTTAAAAATAATATCCAGGACAAAAGTGAGAAAATTTGCCCGTTTATCTAACTTTTCTTCTCAACAGTAACAAATTAAACAAATTATGAAGAGACATTGGGGAATCCTAACTCCACCCTGAAAGACATTTTGCCCAATAAATCTGAAATCAGGAAAGCTTGAAATTTGAGAGAAAGCTCCTAATGTAATAAACCCTCTCAAACAATTTCATTGTTACCACATTTAAACGGTTCCATCCTTGCAACAATTGTGTTATGTACAAACTGGACGGTGTTAGGAGAAAGAAGAAGGTTCCATTCCAATAATACTGGGAGGAAATATGATATTACCTCCTTTCTTATCAGGTTCCATTCCAATAGTACTGGGAGGAAATTTATTACCTCCTTTCTTACATGCAACACTAAATTTGTTGTTTACCTTATTAATGCTTGTGTGGTAAGCAATATATCAATTGGACTACATTGAGATTAAGAGACAGACTTAGCGAACACATCTATAACATTAAACGTGGTATTAAAAACATACCTTATCTGCTCACTTCCATAAGTGTCACCAAAGAAATCAAAAGCTTTGACGTTCTGTGCTATAGACACAATTTCTCCACATTGTAGAGAGTGTAACAAAACGAGACAGGTGTGTAAATTAGAGACCTGTTGGATATATGATATGAGGACCAGTGCACCCTTGGGTCTCAATATACACATTGATATCAACTGTTTTATAGATACAAGTTGATCTAGCAGATTTATATGAATTATTAGCTATTGGCATTTCTTACCCTGCAGTTTATGAAAACAAATATTTTTCATTATTTATTTTTAACAATTGTTATCACTTTTTAATATATTTATGCATCTCATGCATTGGGTCGTTATACTGGTAGGAATACAGGAGCCCTTTATACATAATTGTTTTTTATATCAAATTAAACATAATGTAGTCTATGAAAAAATGATGGCCATTTGTTTGAATCCATGGCTATCAGTAATACTATTGATAGAGTGAGACGATTATAATTTTATTAATTTCACCCAATATTACAGTTTGGAGGTAGATATAAATACTTATTTGAGAATATTGTTTAACCACCTCCCGCCCGCCATATAGTAATATGACGGGTGCAAGGTGGTTCTTTCGTTCTGGGAGAATGTCATATGACGTCCTCCCATTCTCACTGCGCATGCGCGGCTCAGGGAGCGCGCAGCGTGGTGATCGGCGGAGCGCTGTGTCCCTCGGACACAGCGGATCACCGATCACGGAAAGAGCCAAAGATGTTGGCTCCGTCATGTGATCAGCTGTGTCCAATTACAGCTCATCACATGTAAACAGGGAAATGCCGGTTATCGGCATTTCTCTCCTCTTGAGCTGTCACGCTGACAGAGGAGAGGAGAGTCGGTAATCAGCATTCCGTGGAGGGGACATGTACACTGATCATCAGGGCACTGATGATCAGTGTGCCCTGATGATCAGTATAGCCCCAGCAGTGCCACCTATTAGTGTCCATCAGTGCCTTATGTCAGTGCTCATCAGTGCCTCGTGCCAGTGCCCATCAGTGCCACATCAGTGCCACATATCAGTGCACACCAGTGAACATCAATGCCACATATCAGTGCCCATCTGAGCTGCCTTTCAGTGTCACCCATCAGTGCCAGTCAGTGCCACCTATCAATGCCAATCAGTGCCATCTATCAGTGCCAGTCAGTGCTGCCTATCAGTGCCAGTCAGTGCCACCTAACAGTGCCAGTCAGTGCCGCCTATTAGTGCCAGTCAGTGCCGCCTATCAGTGCTGCCTATCAGTGCCATATATCAGTGTCATGTATTAGTGCTGCCTTTCAGTGCCAATCAGTGATGCCTGTCAATACACATCAGTGCCACCTATCAGTGCCCATCAGTGCCACCTATCAGTGTCCATCAGTGCATCCTATCAGTGCCCATCAGTGCACCCTCATTAGCGCACATCAGTGAAGGAGAAAAATCACTTATTTACAAAATTTTATAACAAAAACTAAGAAAAAACATTTTTTTTTTTTTTTTTCAAAATTTTCAGTAGTTTTTGGTTTGTTTAAGAAAATTAAGATTAAATACCACCAAAAGAAAGCTCTATCTGTCACAAAAAAAATATAAAAATTTCATATGGGTACAGTGTTGTTTGACAGCGCAATTGTCATTCAAAGTGTGACAGCTCTGAAAGCTGGAAATTGGCCTGGGCAGGAAGGGGGTATAAGTGCCCTGTAGGCTAGTGGTTAAATTGATCTGGCCTTTTTCCGATGTTTCCGATGGATGTGGCGGCCAACTTAGTAAGTTTTTACCTGGCTGCTCATTGTTATGCTTGACATTTCAAGCTTTAACCTCGTCCAGCCCGGCCTATGGCCGAATGGCGGCCGGCAAAATCCCTTACCTTTCCGGGTGGATGCCATATGGCGTCCTTTCAGGCATGCGCAGTTTGCGCGCCTGCAGAGCCGTGCAGCGGCGCCATCTGTCACCGGCCGTGTACCTTGGACACGGCCAATGACAGACCTGAGTACTGGCCCCGTTGCTGGTACCATGTGACCTTCTGTGATTAATCAATGCAGGTCACATGACAGTTGTATACAATGGATGGCTTCATTCATGCCATCCATTGTATACTAGTGTGTCTAACTGTGAATGGTCACAGCGATCACATGCACAAGCTGGGCCAATTACAGCCATGCTGTGTCATGTGATTAGCCGTGGCCAAATCACAGCTAAGCACAAAAAAAAAACCCTGAATGAATCGATATTATTCAGGTAAATGCTTGCTTATAGCAAAGTAGTTCTTTGCTATAAGCAAATTGTGTAAAAAAAAAATAAAAATACTGATCACTTCCCCAAAGTAGTACAATGTTACTATAGTAACATTGTACTACTTTTGTCATAGTGAAATATGAAAAACAAAACTTAAAAAAAGAAAAAAATTTAATAAAAAATTAAAAATAATAATAAAAAAAAAATTATATTTTTTTTTTCATACTGTCACCAGTCAGTGTCCCTGATCACCGCCATGCCAATTATATGATGATGCTGTACAGCACTGGTGACAGTATGTAAAAAAAAAATAGTGAAAATATTTTTTTTCATTTTTTCATTTTCCGAAAAATTATGACAAAAAAATACAACTTCAAAAAACTCGCTATGCCTCTTATGAAGTACGTCGGACTGTCTACTCTTCAAAAAGGGGTCATTTGGGGGATATCTGTACTGTTCTGACATTCTTGGCCCTCTAGAAATTAGATTGGCTGCCAATACTTCAGGATTGATCAATATTCAGATATATATCATAGTTTATGAACTCTATAACTTTCCTACAAACTAAAAAATACATCCTAATTTGGGTTATTTTCACCAAAGACATGTAGCAGAATACATTTTGGCCTAAATTTATGAAGAACAATTATTTATTTGCAAACTTTTATAACAGAAACAAAGAAAAACGTGGGTTTTTTTTTCAAAATTTTCGGTCTTTTTTGTTAATTTAGCAAAAAATAAAAACCCCAGTGGTGATTAAATACCACCAAAAGAAAGCTCTAGTTGTGTGAAGAAAATAATAAAATTTAGGTTTGGGGGGGCGCATGCGCGGCCAGCACTGAAGGTGGACGTGCAGTGAGACAGCGCCGTCCACCCGCCAGCCTATAAGTGGCACAAATCGGCCCTGGGAACACAAAGCAGCACTGCACCGACAGTATAAGGTGCCCGACCATCCGCAGACATGCCGAGGAGGAAAAAATCCCTGGATCAGCCAGGAAAGCTGACACAATTCTTCCTGGCCGTCAGGCCGGGAATCCAAGATGGCGCCCGCGGCTGCAAACAGGGAGACAGCAGCAGCGTCCAGCAGGAGGACTACATGGCCCAGCAACAAGACTCCAGGCTGCAGCACTCGCTTTACCCCGGGGACCCTGGTGAGTTGTCACCCCCACTGTCCCCTACGTTACGCAGCCCAGCTAAATCCAGACAACGGCTAGAACAGGACCCTAGCACACTATACCAGGCCTTAAACCCTCCATTACAGCCACCCCACGCAGCTATGCCTGACATAGACGCATTCCCTGCGTCAGACATACCTCTGACAGAAATATGCATGAAAAACATGCTTACGTCTTTACGCCAATCTCTACATAACGATATCTTTACGCCACTCAACCAACTGTCAACTATAGTACAACAACAAGAACACAGAATCAGCCACATTGAGAATAGCATGGGAGACATAATAACGGCGCACAACAACTTAATTGATGCGCACACAGAGCACTCGAACGACATTGAGCAAATCAATCAAAAATTAGCTGATTTAGAAGACAGATCACGTCGCAACAACATCAAATTCAGAGGAATTCCCGAATGTGTCACCAACGATGACTTAATCCCATACATACAGCAATATATCAAAATCCTCCTCCCATCACTCTCTGACTTAGAGATCGCAATTGACCGCGCGCATTGCCTACCTAAACCCTCCTTTTTACCAGCATCCACCCCTAGGGATGTACTAGCCCGCATTCATTTTTTCCACGTGAAAGATAAAATTATGTCGGCGGCCCGAAATCCACCGCCGCTCCCACCATCGCACACAAATCTCCGCTTATACGCTGATTTATCTAAAGCTACCCTCCTTAACAGAAAACGAATGATATCCATCATCAAGGCCCTAAGAAACCATGGCATAGCATACCAATGGGGTTTCCCCATCAAATTAACGGTGCGGCAACATGACAGAATTTTCACTATTAAAACACTGGAGGCAGGCCTGGATCTACTGAAAAACTGGAATATCCTCCCTGCGGAACCGCAAGAACCCGCGCATAGCTCTATGGAGGCAACATAGTCATTACAGGACATATTTTTTTTTCTTTTTACTAAAATATGTCCACACTTTCTCCCAGGAGCCATTTCTTCATCCGATCTGTCTGGCGTTTGGCCTAAATTCTGCAAAGTTTGTTTAAAACGGTTGCAACTGGCCTGACCCCCGCCTGGCGGTCAAGCCCACCCGCACCCCCTGGTTTTGAGGTAGCAATGTTGACTACTCGAGGTATTTCCATTTTTCGCAAATTTTTTTTTTATTATTGTTCTTTATATCCTTACCCCTTCCCTACCATGGCACCTTTGGATACCCACGCAATACTCAAATGTCACTTACTTCGACACACCTCGGAATACTTCCCTCAACGCTCCGATTGAGTCACAGCTCTATCACCTCCACTTGAATGTCTATCCTCTCGCAAAATACATAATCATATGCCTCTCCAAAACACCATGATTACAAATGATTAATTTTACATCATTCAACGTCCGAGGCCTAAATTCGCCATATAAACGTTCATTACTATCTAGAGAAGCACGGAAGTCACAAGCGGACATACTCTTCATACAGGAAACACACTTCGCTACCGAAAAGACGCCCAAATTATACCTTCATCATTTCTCTCAAATATTTATGGCAACCAACCCCAAAAAGAAGAATGGAGTGATCACGGCCATTAAGGACTCTCTTTCATTTTGTTTCTTATCACAGAAGGCGGATCCACTAGGACGCTTCCACATTTTAGTGTGCCAAATAAACGACAAGACTCATACATTAGTGAATGTTTATGGCCCGAACTGCAAACAGCTACGTTTCTACCGTAAACTTTACAAAACCATCTCCATACTTAAACAAGGGAAACTCATCATCGGTGGCGATCTCAACATTACGGGAAACTCGGACATGGACTCATCCTCCACTTCGAAATTCGCAAAACCAACTCTTAGCCAGTTTCTGCACGATAATGACCTCTATGACATCTGGAGATGTCAACGCGGCTCTGAAAGAGATTATGCTTATTACTCTCCTCCGCATCTTTCATACTCACGAATAGACATGTTTATCACAGACAAATGGACATTGCAACAAATGACAGCATCCAAAATAGGGACTATATCCTGGTCAGACCATGCTCCAATCCAAATATCATTAGACGACGACCAAAACACAGCGCTCCCACCCATCTGGAGACTCAACTCTTCACTTTTAACAGCACCGGATAACCAGAAGCGTATCCAAGAAGCCCACAAGCTCTTTATTGATACCAACACCACCCATGATATATCTATCTATCACCACACTTTGGTCGGCCTACAAGGCCTACATGAGAGGTATCCTCATTCAGTTAAACTCCCGCACTAAGAGACAGCGCTCCCAACAAATTGATCAGCTCATGACCTCCATCCGGTTCAATGAAAAACTCAACAAACAGACTCCAAATCCCGCTACAACAGCGACCCTAAACTCAGATAGGAATAAATTACGTACCATTTTACTGCACGCATACGATACCAATCTGCAAAAAACAAAAGCTAAATTCTATGCACTCGGTAACAAGGCAAATTCACTCCTTAGTAAAACTATCAAACAAAAACATAAATAAAAGAAATGCAGCGCTCTTAAAAAGTGAGAAATAATGATAATAAACACAGTCCGGTGAAAAACAGTGCTCCTTGTTTCCCAGTGTAAATGGTAGAATTTCGCACTAACCAGAACGCGCATAGGTAATGCGCATATGTATATATATATCCTGAAGATCCTCTCTCCACTTGAGTCTGGTCAGGTATATGGCTGGGAAGAATGGAGATCCTACGCCCTCATGTGGTGAGAAGTAATTCAGCAGGTCAGAGCAGTAACGATCTAGGTAAGCCTCCAAAGGAACTGGCACAGGAATCCCCAGGGCTACAAGGATGGAAAAAGCTCCTCACAGGAGACATAGGGGAGCACTCATAGTGTGTAGTAATT